ATATTTTATCAAGAGCTTTTACTGTCTTGAGAAAAACCAAAAATAATTAGATAATTTATAACCGTAGCGATCGTGCATAGGGGAATAATTGTACGTAAGTACCATCGGAACAATTATGGACTGATAACCTTGTACAGATCAATAATATGTGTGATAGTCGTTTGCTTCACACGATAAGCATTTAAATTTAATTCTACGTCCATTGTTTTAAATAACTTGACGTAAGCATAAATGTTGTCATTTTGAATATAGAATCGCTCTAATGTACCAAATAGAGGCGTTGATGAAAATAATAATTGATTTAAATACAATGCATCACCAATTCTATATTGCATTCCATGAATTTTAACACTTGTTTGGGATTGAAATAATAATTCATTCCGTTTTATTTGTTGATCAAGAGGATAATCGTTGATATTCACTTGTATCATTTGACGAAATTCTTGTTTTTGCTGAAATATTTCTTCTGATTAATAACCTTGACTATTCACAAATTTAGAGCAGAGCCATTGCTGATGTTTTGCTGATAATGTTTTCGCTAGAAACAAACAAGAAGAGCAAATAATCTATAATGTACGAAGAAAATAAAAAAAGTAGACTTACCTAAGTTTTTAAAGCTCATACTACATAATCGTTTGAAAAACGCATGTTTCTTTTCAAAACAAAAGCACGATGTATATCGTGCGCACTATATATGCACTGGTGAGAAGAAGAAAACAGAAAGACAATTGCGCATACACATGTGGGTACGATGACCCACATAACAGAAAGCGTTCTACGGGTGAAAAATCGGCGTCAACCGACCGGTTGAAAAAGTTCGACTGTTCCATGTCTTACCACTCTTCAATTCGAATAGGTAATGTCCCTATTCTTCTGAACCACTGAGTTCATTTAGATTTCATTTTTATGAATGAAAATGATCCTTTTTTTCCTTTTCGCTGTTGAAATATTCACGTGTGAACTTCTTTTCCTTATAGAAAACCCTATGACAAATCTTCAGGGGTCACAAGAGGTTAGGGGTGGGCCAGTTCCAGTTCGCATTGTTTCAAGTAAAACTGGTGACCAGTTACAGTTACTAGTAACGGGAACTGTCTCACGCCTACAAGAGATAATAGAGAAAATAATGTTTTCTGTTAAAAAATAACAGTCATGCTCTACAGACTTCCTCCTAATGTGAAATTCCCTCAGGTGGGTGCTCTAAAAGAATATAAATATGCGAAAGGATTTGTCTGTCTAGCAGTTCAAAGTAAATTAGTTTCTCAGACGAAACACGATCCAAAAATAATGTTAGACACAAAATTCATTGTCGTAATTTTCTTAATCGAACTGCCTGCTTTCATATGTACAGTCATACACATGGTAATATCAGAACTAACAGTCGATATTATTTACGATGAAACACCTGTGTTTCATAACAAAAGTTATCAATGTTTTACAAATGTACGCAGCTGCAGCTGTCTGAGATGCCATGCCTATCGGTCATGCAGTTCTAGTTTGCATTGCAATTATCTGCTACATGTGTCTCTTGGTTTTAATTGCCAAAGACTGTCCGGATATGATCAATGTTATCCGCTAAACGTGATTATAAGATCGAAGAAATCGAAAAGCATATTTTGTTAATAGGTTTTCGAAAACCCCTTTGGAAAAAAATTTTTGGGTTCTTCAAGATTTCTTTCGAGAGCTCCTATAAATAGGATTTAGAATAGCTTAAGTACTCTAACTTCTGAGATTTTGAGTTTGTTCTGATGTTTTCTGAATGAATATAGAATTGTAGAATCGTTGAACGGCGTGTCGGAATTCCGTTTTTGCGCCTTCCGAACTATATAACGCAAGTAGCACAAAATCAAACACCTTGCAAGGAGGGGGGCGTATTTGATCAGAAAACGGCCCGCAGCTTTTTTTCCTCATTTTGACTTGATTTTTGTAGAAAAGACATTTGTACACATTTTTCAATTGTTCTTATGGAAAACAAGTTCAAAATACGTTTTTAATGTTGATTATTTTGAGATTCCATCAGAGGATGTCGTTGTTAGAAAAAATTATATTTTTGAAAAATCCAGCATAGGTTTCACACAACCTTGATATGAGAAAATAGCCAGTGAAAAACTGAATAAAATACTCTATGAACAATCCTTATACATCATTTCAACAGGAAGAAATTATTTTTACAAGAGACAAATTGACCTAAAAAACGATATCAGCGATGTTTTAAGTACTTTTCTCTCCATATGCAAACAAGGATGCAACTTGTATTTGGTATAGAATTTGACTATTTCTATTTTCTACCATTTGACTATTTACTCAACTGACTGGACTAGACTGAATTCAAAACGAAAACAACTCATACGGAGCTCTGTTACCTAGTCGCAATAAACTGTCGTAACAAAAAAAATCTTATTTACCAATATCATTCTTATACTGAACAAGTGCCCCTAAATGTTTATCACTGGTAATTTTGCTATCATAAAATTGAATTTGTAACTTATTTTCTGGTGGTGACACGACATCAATATACAGTTTAACGCGAACTTCGTCCTCTTGTGATAAATTAGAA